AGTGACGTGCAAAACCCCATTGCAAAGCCCTGTTGCAAAGGGCCGTGCAAAGCACCGTGCAAATTCCTATTGCAAAGCCTCATTGCAAAGGGCTGTGCAAAGCACTGTGCAAATCCCTATTGCAAAGCCCCGTTGCAAAGGGCCGTGCAAAGCACCATGCAAATCCCCATTGCAAAGCCCCGTTGCAAAGGGCCGTGTAGAGCCCTGGGCCCTGCACAGAGCCCTGTGCGAGCCTGTGCAAAGCATCTTGCAGAGCGTCCTGCAAAGCCCTGTGATGAGCCCCGTGCAAAGCCCCGTGCCAAGGCCTGCCCCGGTGCTTGCGCAGAGCCCCAGGATGGGCCTCGTGCAGAGCCCCATGAAAAGCCCTGCAGAAAGTTTTGTGCAAAGCCTCCCGCGGAGCCTCGTGATGAGCCCCGTGCCAAGGCTCTCTCACAGAGAGCCCTGCGCAGCCTCGTGCAAAACATCCATGCAAAGGCTCCCGCAGGGCTTCGGGATGAGCCCTGTGCAAAGCCCCGTGCAGAGCCTGGCACCCTGCACCGAGCCTCGTGCCAAGCTCTGCACCCAGCCCTGCGCTGTCCTGTGCCAAGGCCGGCCCCGGTGCTTGTGCCGAGCCCTTTGCAAAGCGCCGTGCAGAGCCCCAGGATGAGCCCCGTGCAAAGCCCCTTTGCAAAAATACTGTGCAAAGGACCGTTAAAAGCCTCAGGATGAGCCTCGTGACGAGCCCTGTGCCAAACCCCATCCCGATGCTTGTGCAGAGCCCTTTGCAAAGCCCTGTGCGGAGTCCCAAACTGAGCTTCAGGATGAGCCTCATGCAAAGCCCCACTGCAAAGCCCCATTGCCAAGTGTCCTGCAAAGCGCCCTGCAAAGCCCCATTGCAAAGTGCCCTGCAAAGCCTCGTTGCAAAGTCCCATTACAAAGCACCCTGCAAAGTGCCCTGCAAAGGCCCATTGCAAAGCGCCCTGCAAAGTGCCCTGTAAAGTGTCCTGCAAAGCGCCCTGCAAAGCCCCATTGCAAAGTGCCCTGCAAAGGCCCATTGCAAAGCGCCCTGCAAAGTGCCCTGCAAAGTGCCCTGCAAAGCGCCCTGCAAAGCCCCATTGCAAAGTGCCCTGCAAAGCCCCACTGCAAAGTCCTGTTGCAAAGCGCCCTGCAAAGTGACGTGCAAAACTCCAGGAAGAGCCTCCCGCAAAGGCCAATGCAAAGCCCTGCGCAGGGTGCGGGACCCCCTTGGAACCCCCCGGGAGCCTGGGGACGCACCGTGGTGACCTGCAGGAAGCCGTCGTCGCGCTGCGTGAGGTTGGCCAGGCGGGACACCCAGCCGAACTGGCGGTTGAGCTGCTCCAGGAGGCCCGTGGTGTTGAGCATGTCGGCCTGGAAGGCGCCCAGCAGCTCGTCGTAGCGGCGGGCGAAGCGCTCGGCCAGGCGCAGCGCCTCCTCCAGCTGCTCCCGCAGCTGCTCCTGCTCCTCGTCCGCATCCGCGCAGTCTGCGGGGACAGCGCGGGTCGGCATCACGGCGTCCGGCCCTCCATCCATCCTTCCTTCCATCCCCCCAG